TATATATATATATATATATATATATATATATATATATATATATATATATATATGGGAGAGAGTGCAGGATATAGGAATGGGCTGAAAGAGATAATCATGAAGTTTAGAGATTGAGGAATATCTCAAGACCAACTTGATAGATGGACAATGAAAGCATTTCAGTGAATTTGATCAAATAGAAATGTGAAAGTGTTAAACCAATTAGAAGAATGCTATCAGCTTTCCAGACCTAACAATTTCATATTGGGTGATTTATTATAGTGTGTGCCTATGGAGGCAAGGTTTGACTTGTATTGTCTTTCTGAAGAATGATCCTCATTTGGTTGACTAAATCTGGAGAATTTTTTTTTCTCTTCTCTTCTGGTTGACAATAAAGATTAGTTGTGATTATTTTACCTGATTCTAAGAGTTCCTAATAAACAACATCCACCACAATCGTCAACTACTCACCAAATCTTTACTGATAAAGGAGCACTACTTTAGATGTTTTTTTTTTTTTTTTGTTCATAACTCTAGGTTCTTTCATTTTGCTTTGTTTTTTGTCATTGCTGATAATAATACAGTTGGCCCTCACCAACTTCCATATCACTTATTGACTATTAACTCAATCAATAAAACCTCAAAATATTTATTAAATTAAAATTACTGTTCAGAATATATTTCAAATCCCTTATTTTCCCAATTTGGGCAATTTTGCTCAAACAATAAAAAATTTGACTCTGTTATTTCAACAGGTCTCATGTAGTAGTAGTAATAATAATAATAATAATGAAGGTTTGTTTCTTTTCATGCCAAAATTATTTCTCATTTCTTCCCACCTCCTCTCATTTGATTGTTATTACTAATTTCTGTCTCAACTTTGGAAATGAGGAATTATCATTATAATACTTTTACCCCAAGCAAGTCAATAAAGCTACAATTGAGTTAGTGAAGATGAAAGACAATAGACTGAAGGAAATTGAGAAAACATTACTGAAGAGAAATGACAATAATAAAAAAAACACATTAAAAAAAATAGAACATGACAATTGACATTAGATTTAAATTTTTGTAGTTAACAGGAAAGCAAGAAAACAGAAGAGACAAAAATAAAGTCTGAATAGAATGTGGTTACACTGAGCAATTTCAGCAACAAAGTGATGAGACCTAACCGCCAATCTAGTACTATGCTTCAATTCACACTGGTTTATTCAAACTGATGTCCTCATCTTATTTTTTATAGCTTCATTTTGATGTGCATACCATCTGCATTCCTTCAACAGTTTGTTGTATCTATTAAGGTTTTTGAAATTCTGAAAATTATATTAAATATGACAGACATCTGAAGAAAGCTAGTGGCTGAAACATTATGATTATAACAATTAAACTGAAAACAACAACTCAAGAATATATAATGGAATAGTTTTTCAATTAATTTAACCAAAGTCATATGAATACTCCAGAAAACAAAATTTTATAATAAGAGTTAATCTATTCAAAGCTTCAAATTAACCTTGAGACACCGGATTTTGTATGTGGGTGTTTTGTGAGGGTTTTTTAATGTAATTCTTGGTTTTTCTAAGCAATGTCACTATTGGACAATATATGCTGTCTGCATTGTTTTTGCAAGCAACAGAAGCCCAAATTCACAAATCCTATGAGAACGACTTTGAACAATGATATAAAATAACTAATGTTCAGAATGAAGTCACCTACATTCAGGTTATTATGCTGCCTGGGTGTACATACATACGCAGGCCAAGTACAAAATGACACACACATTAAACCCAGGTTCAAATGTGGTTTATGTGTAAAACCCTTGTAACCAGATGTCAACAGTAGGGCTGCTAGGACAATCACATCTTCAATTAGAAATAATATAGATAAAAAATAGATAAAAGTCTAATTGAAAAACAATGTAAGATATTTTTTTTCCAACCATTGTTTCCTGGAAGTATTTGAACATGAATTGTCCAATGTCCTTTGAATGCTTTTTTTTTTTTGTGTGTGTGTGTGTGTGTGTGAGTGTATGTTGATATGTATTGTATTTCTTTCACAGGGTTTTTAAATGTCAAGTCTCTAGAAATGTTAAGTTTTTCAAGTATCACGTCTTGTCATCATGTGCCAGTTTGTTTTGCAGTGTCATGTCTTTTAAATTTTTGTTTTTTTGGTGTGTGTGCGTGTATAATATATATATGTATATATGTATATATATATAATGAAATGGACTAAATCCGACAATTATTCATAGAAAACATGTCCTCTTAAAGGAATCGAACCTGTATTCTACATGGAAACGTCATATAGCCTGACATGCTATATCATATTTTTTATGAAATTTCTCAGACATTCAGGCTGGTAAATGTTGTTAATATTGTTTATTGTAAACAGAGCATTTGCTTAAATATTTGTATCTATAAACAGAAAAATATATAAAAAAAAAAATACACACACACACACACATATATATATATATACATTATAAGAGATTATAATAAAAACATGATTGAAATCGCTACACAAAAGCTTTTGTGTTTCAGTACTCTGATTGTACTTCTTAGGTGATGTTAAGTAACTGGTGATTAAGTGATTTTTAAGGAAATTTAAAAACAAAGTGTTACCTTTTTTTTCCAAAAGTTATGTTTCCCACCCTCTTTAACTTTTGGAAATGAGGTAATTTTTTCCACTTTTGTCATATATATATATATATATATATATATATATATATATATATATATATATATATATATATATATATATATATAACAAATTAATACAAGTAAAAGGTTTGTCACTTAACATCCTGACTCCAGAGTTACATAGATCGACCCTCCGTCAATCACACCATTCACTCGTTAGGGGATATCAGCAATTGACTGTTTATAATTCTCAATTTTTCTTTTTTATATGCACTTTTCATTGGTGCATTTTTTTATGGTGTGGGGACTATAGTGTATGTGTGCATGCACCCATGTGTGCACATGTCAAACATCATGGTTATTTGTCGTTTTCATTGTTATTTTTCTCTTTACACTCACTCCTTATTGGTTTTTTACCTTTTCTCATTTGTATGGGGGGAAAGTTAAAAATTAACCATACTTATAACACGTATGTTATAACATAACTATGGATAATTTTTTACTTACTCTCGTGTGTGTATGTGTGTGTAATATCTCTGAATGATCTTTCTACCTTGGAAGCATCTATCAGCTGAACATGTGGAAGGCTGAAGAAAGGACAGTATCTTTGCTGAAATCCTTAAGTTGTTTTGGTTTGTTTTGTTTTACGGCATATCGACTTCAATGGGTTATTTAATGCCGACAAAATTTTTATTGCTGGTAATATTTTGTTTTGTCAAAAATCTATTTCTGGTATATATATATATATATATATACACACACACACACTTATTGCTGCATTGTAATTTTAATTTAACTATATATGTTAATATCTAGTCACATGTGCTAAGAATATATTGTTATATAACTAGACGTAAATGTATTTATTTCTTGTAGTAGTCGCCATATCATGATTGTATCCTGAAATAGCAGAGTACCTAAAATTCTTATTCAATTATAATCATTAATCTTTTGCTGTGACTGCTTGTTTAATTTAAATTGTACTGGAAAAATTGACTGAATAAAATTTCAGTCAAGTCTTCCTTCTAAATTTAACTGAAATTCTAACAATTTATTATATATGTGATGTATAACAATCATGACGCATAATCAAATCTCACTCTGTCATTTTGTTGTAAATATTTCCGATAAAAACATTTCTACCCTTAATGAGTTGGCTTGCAGCCATATAGTGCTGTAAGCTTGGATATGTGGGTGGAGTAATGGATAATGGCTTAGAATTGCTAATCAGAGAGCAAAGTTCCAATTTCATTTGGGTTCGTCATATTCACTTACATGCAAATAACCTTGGGAAAGGTATGAAACCATCTCTTCTCTTACTAGCTATGGGTTAAGTAAGTAAGACTAGTTTCACTAAATCATTATTCTCTCCAAAAAATTAATTCTCACAATCTTAAAATATTTTCTGGCTTTAAATAACCTGCAAAGGGTTGATAAGCCATAGAAAACAAATCAATCAACCAATTTTAAATAGAAGTCTTACAGGACAAAAATTGTCTTGTCAAAATGGTAGATATGTCTCTGGTTTGCATTAGTCTAAAAGGTTTGCATTTTTCAAGTTTATACTAGAGCCTATGGGTATCCACCTGGAAAGTGGCCACTTTTCAGGGTTCCTTACCCATCTACAGAGGATGAAGTCATCATATTATAAGCCCCACTGACAGGGCCAACAAATATTGGGCAATACATGGAACTTTTTCAGTATAAACACATATGGAGTTATCTTGATATTAAACTGTATTTTCCAATTGAAAATAGAAACTTCTGTGACTTTTGAGATAGATTCTCTCCTGAGAAAAAAAAAAATATATATATATATATATATATATATATATATATATATATATATATATATATATATATATATAATATTTTTGTCTTTATAATTAGAATAAATTAGATTCATACATTTTGCATTGTTTTGTCAAGCAAGAGTCTAGTTTTTTTTTTTTGTTTTTTTTTTTTAAATCATTTTGCCCTAAGCAAGGTAATAATGCGTCTAAGACACAAGTTGACTGAAAGAAATTGACAAATCATTACTAAGATAAAAGGATAATAAAAAAGAAGATTCAAGTAGACACAAGATGACAATTGATGTTGCATTTAAATTTTTGGAGATTGTAGTTGACATGAAAGCCAGAGGAGTTCCATAGGTGAGAAGTGCAAGAGAATGTATTAGAATAGAATTACAGTTACATTGAACAACTTCAACAATAAAATGACTTAGCTACCAATCTAGAACTATGTGTAAATAAGTTGAGGTAACAAAGAGGAAAGCTCATCAGAACAATTACCACAAAAAAATATTTATAAAAAAAAAACCCACTTTGGTCCATTAAGAGACTACCTATAATTTAAAATAACTTTCTTTTTCTATCTCAGAGAACTGGATTCTGGTCTTGAAGAAGCAATTGCCAGTTTAATATGGGTGACCCCACGTCTCCAGTGTGACATCCAAGAACTTAAACACATCTCCGAACAGTTTGCCGCCAAATATGGCAAGGAATATGCACAGGCGTGCCGCACAAATGCCTTAAACAATGTCAGTGAAAAAGTGATGCACAAACTGAGTGTTCAGGCTCCACCCAAAATTCTGGTTGAACGATATATGATTGAGATTGCCAAGACATACAACGTTCCATTTGAACCTGATGCCATTGTAATGTCACAGGATGAGGTCCACACAGCCGACAAACTGCTCATTGACTTGGGCCTAAGTCAGCCAGAGGATGAGAACCCAAAGTGCAACCCTGGGATTGGTGGAGGGATGGCAGTGCAGCCTCCTGCATCAGCGCCACCACCGTTCAACTATCCCTACCCAGTAAGTTGTCTTTAGCATTTGAAAAAATTAATTAAAAAGATGTTTTACTTCAGGTTAAAAGGAGGTGAGTAATATTAATTTTGGACTTTGATTTTTTTTTTTTTTTTGCATCTTAATTTCAGTTGCTTTTTATCCGATATCATTACTCCTGACTTGTGAACAACCAACATGGATTAAAAAAAAAAAATCTTCTGGCAAGGTTTTAACTCTCATGGGATCCAATTCCTTTTACTTATTTAGAGTTATAGAATGACAATGTAGAAGTTGCAGCAAAAAGCAAATGAAATGAAGATGAAAGAAATCTTAGTCAAAAATGAATAATGCTTGGCAATTCTTCATCTAATAATAAAAATTCAAGATAATATTACTACTAATACTACTAGATGAAAAGTGAGTGAAATTAAGATGAAAGAAATGCTAGTCAAAAATGAATAATCGCTGGTAATCCTTTACTTAATAATAAAAATTCAAGATAATATTACTACTAATACTACTAGATGAAAAGCAAGTGAAATTAAGATGAAAGAAATCCTAGTCAAGAATTAATAATGCTTGACAATGCTTCATATAATAATAAAAATTCAAGATTTTATTTTCAAATCTTCAAAAAGACTGCAAATTTTACTTTCTCTGAACAGAATGTAAACACTTAAGTGCATTTCATTGTCATATAAAGAAATATATCTTTGCAGAAATTAATCTTTGCTAAGAAATTAACTATGATGTCTTGACCATAACTGCAGTGTAGAAAAAAAAAATCTTGTATGTCAGTGACTGATGCATTAATCTGTTCTGATTTTATTTTATTTTATTTTTTTATTTTTATTTTTTTTTAACAGCAACCTTCTTCTAATGCCCCTCCTGCTTATCCAGGCAATAGTGGTCCCGTGCCAGGAATGGAGACAAGGTCATCCCATGATTATCCACCAGCCCCTATTGGGTTTATCATCAACCAGCCCAACAAACCAAAAACAGGAGATGACCTGTTCCCTGACTTGCCTGCAGTTCCTTCCAATACTCTGCCTGATTTGGGAAGCACACCAAACACGGACACAAATGAAGATGTTGATTTTGATGACCTGACCCGACGATTTGAAGAATTGAAAAAGAAGAAATAAATCCCCTGCCCACCAAAACTAACATACACCCCCGCAACCCTCCTCACTTGACTAAAAGGAAAAAAATATTATTTTATGAATGGATATGTTTTGATTCCTCTTTGCTTTTTTGGGTTTTTTTTTTTTTTTTTTTGTCCATCTTTAGCAACAAAATCAAGGTTTTTGGGGGGTGGGATTTGTTTGTATGCTTCCCACTTCAACACTCTTCAAAACTTTTTACTAAACTATATCACCATTTTTTACTCAGATGGACAGCCTTTCTCCTCGCTAACCTTTGAATTGTGTTTTTATGTGTGAGTGTGTAATATATGTAGAAGAGAAAGATTGTCTGCGTGTGCTTCTTACAGAATGTAGGCCAATGAGATATTAAAAAATACAGAAGGTCTTACAGTCACATCACACTGAAACACTGGTTCCTGTACGATCACTGAAGTTACACAATGTCGAGCATGGCCACTAACTGTATGGGTGACTGCTTGGGAATATCAGGTGCTGGAAGCATGGATGTGTGGGTGGTGCAATGGATAATGGCTCAGAATTGTTAATCAGAGAGCCGAGTTTCAATTCCATTTCATTATATTCACTTAGCAAATCTAGGGCTTAATTAGTAAGACTCGTATCACTAAACCATTATTATCTCAAAAACAACTCTTGCAATCTAAAAATCTTTTCTGACTCTAAATAACCTGAAAATGGTTGATAAGCTATAGAAAACGATTAATCCTAATAAAAAAAAAAAAACCAGAAGAATAATAATATTTATTGCATATTATTAGGCCATTAGACAAAATGAAAGCATTGTCATTGAGAAAGGATACATGCATGTTCCAAAACTTGTAGGGTAGATTAAACGAAATTTTATTTTGCTTTCCATTGCTTTTGTTTATATTCTTTTCCACTTGTATTCTAATTTACAGCCACTTTTTCTTAGAGCTGATCATATTTTTTTTTTCATTAAATATCTTCATATTGCTAGAATTTTTTTGAAATTCTCTTACTTAAAAGACATGGGTATTTGAAAACAGTAATTGGGTGGTGGGAATATCTATCAATATAGATTGGGGTTTTCTGGGAACAGATTATGTGTAATTAGTTAAACATTATATCTAAGAAATTTATTTCTTTTTGGTTGGTTTTCATATCAATTCAAAGTCCTATATTATTTTCTGATTGTTCTGCTTGTGCAAATTTTTAAGATTAATTAGTCTCTCTCTTGTTTATCTATTATTGTAGCTAGTATATTGATTACATAGACATATTTAGCTCACACACAAGCACCATCATAACTAACCATGGTTGCATCAAAGTTTTCATTCTGACCATATTTTTTATGTTGTATAATATTTATTTTCTGCAATGTTTTGTTTTTATTTAATTTTCAGAATGCTAGCTTACTTATTATAATGCTTAATTTAATTTCTATTTAATAAATTCTCTTTGAGGATTTTATCTATATTAAATAAATGACAGAATGTAATTTCAAATCTTACCCAATTCATTCATAAAATATTTTTCAACAGACTTAAACAAAAATCTATAATCGAAAGTATTAGGACCCTCCCTTCTTCTCAAATGAACTATGGACTGTTTATTCACTGATTTTTTTTTTTTTTTTTTTTTTTTTTTTTTTTTTTTTTTCCCATCTAATGTAAAGCATTTGGTTTGAAACCAAGAAAAGTTGATTAAAATATGAAACCATCTTTCAGTGTCTGTTACATTCAATGAAAGAAAGAAAAACACTTGCTGCTTAAATATACGTTATTTAATATCCACATTAGTAGGAGGGTAATATTCCAGGTTAGTATATTTTATGTTAAACTTTCACACTAATAGACTGGGCATTGAATAATCACAAATGTGCCAAAACAGGTGTCTACAACAGGGATTAGCTAGTTACCTAGCAAATGAGCAGCTAAACTTTTATATATATATATATATATATAGGCAATAAAAGAAACTGGCATGGCTATATATATTATAGCCACAACATGGTTTCTTTTATTGTCCCAATATTTCTGTCAATATCCCAAAGAATGACAACTGCTACCCACCCCCCTTAATTTCACTACTTGTCATCCCCTTCATTTTTTTTTTTTTTTCCTCCATCTCCAGACTCGGAGTAACCCTAATAGCAGTCGTGCATTTATCTAAACAAAATATAACCTAATGTCTGAAAGAAACAAGCCTTTTACTTAGAATCACATCCCTTACAACTTTCTATTTTTAGTGCTTATTTTAAAATGATTCTCAAAAAGCAAATTGTTTTGTGTGTGGTATGAAACAAGATAGGGAAAATGTCAACAGACAAGTCTAAACAAAATGGAATTGCCTGACATATCCAAGAAAATAAATCTGCCACTTTCCTCACTTGCACATTCATTACAAAAAATATACACATCCTTATAAACTGTTCCTCCTACCTCTTACCACTCACATGAACTTCTTCAGCAATCCTCTATCTTGAATGGCTCTTGGGCCTTGTATAGGATGAACATTAGTTTAAAAAAATACACACCTGTATTCCTCCCCCACACCAACAATATTATTTATTAGATATTGAAATTTGTTTGCTGATAAAATTTCTTGATATTTTTTCTTGAATTATATCAAGCTGCTTCTGGAAACAAAGGAAGATGTGGAGGACCATGACTGCCAATTCTCTGGTTATCATGAATTCATTTGTATTTATCATTTCCTTATGGACAGATGTGATACTAGTTTTTTTTTTTTTTTTTTTTTTTTCATGTGGGTACTCACATACAACAAAGGTCACATGGTGAGTTACCCAGAAATTGTTCAATTCCTTTGGCTATTGCTGCAGGCATCAGGGCATGCTCTTAACCCTACCAATCTTAATACAGTGAAGGAGTGCAGGTTTCAGTTATTGTTTTTAACTGAATAGTGCCAGATTCTTGTTTTTTTTTTTGTGTGTGTGTGTGTATCTGTTATTCTAAGCATCCAGCACAAAATCATTTTCTTCAGACATTAAGATCAGGGCATTTGGTCTGTTTCTGACACCATTTTTCTTGTCTTCTGGGTGTAAAATTTAAGTAGATATGACTTGTCTCTGGAGATTCTTACTTACGGATAGCATCTCATTATTGCAATTAAAAAGAAAGGTTATATATTGCTCAAACTCCTTTTCATAAGAATTAAGCAACTTTTGCCACTGTCCACACAGACATGTAGAGGACCCCCACCTGGCTCTGTCTGGTTTACCCTATCAGTCCTTAAGAGATTTCAAATCTTAAATCCCTTGATTCCCGACTAAATCTGAATATTTGATGCTAGGGCAATTAAACTATTATTCTCTAAAAATCACGTATTAAGCGCTGATTTTATATGAAGGTTTAATTGATTTCTCTTTCAAATGATACCAAATTTAACGTCCTTGGTATTACTGGTTACGAGATATGGTTTTAAAAATTTACAACCTTATAAAAGTTCAAAATTTCCAAAATGTTGATTTTCAGTACCTCTAGTTTACCACTGTTCATTTAAATACAATGGGCATGTGGCTGGTTGGTGAGAACATTAACTTTCCGACCGTGATACCCAGGTTCCAATCTCACCATGATAGATTCGTCAAGAAGATTTCTTCATGTCAACACACAGCACCTTTGAAAAGTGCCTGACAACTGAACTTATTTTGTCATCATCAATGCTTACTGGCTGAAGTGAACTTTTAAGTGACTCATTCCCAATTGAAAAACTCCAGAACCACTTTTAACCCTATCAGCCTTGAAGAGATTTCAATTGTTAAATCCCTGGAGTCCTAACCAAATTGTTCATAAATCTAAATATTTAGTACAATTAAATTGACATATCCCAAAATCCATTGATAATCAGGTACTACAAGTTGATTTTCTGCCAAAGTAAATTGATTTCTTTCAAATGATACCAAATTTAGCCTCCTGATTATAGAATATTCTTTTAGAAATTTAAAATCTTATAAAAGCTCAAGATTTCCAAAAATCCTGTAGATTTCTGGTACTTCTAGTTGATCAAATGACACACGAGTTAACTGCTGTGTATTAAAATGGGCATGTGGTCAGAACATTTGTTTTCCGATAAAAAGACCGAGGTTCCAATCTCTCTATAGTCAATTTGTCGGAGAGGTGACTACTTCATGTCTGTCTTTGAATATTACCTGAAAACCAAACCCTGGGTTAACCTGAAAACCAAACCCTGGGTTAACCAAAGCCTTGTGAGTTAAATTGAGTAAAGGAAATTATTTAGAAGATGGTTGTGCTAGTGCAGAGGCACAAGTAGTACTGGCCTTGTTCAAACTTTTGATCATGTCAGATTCTGTGCTTTCTCCCAGGAACTGTAACTAAGATCTGCTCAGCATAGTTGCAGTATAAACCACAGGTGGGCTCTGTGGATATTGAGCAAATATGAACATGCCTCAAGTAGGAATTGGTTAGCCACTCTAGCAGACAGGTGTGCTCAGAAGCAAGTTGCCGGCCATTGTTGAAAAACAGTGTTACTCAAACTGCAAACATGTAAAACTTGCGAACACATTTGGGTGCTTCTGACAAGGTTAACAAGGAAAATTTAAACTCAAGATCTAATTTGAAAAAGAAGGCAGTTTTATAGATTATTCTTATACAGGGTGTCCATAAATTTTGTGTACACTTTAAAAAATTTATAACTTTATTAGTATTCGCGATTGAAATAATGTGTAAAAAGGATTAGAAAGAAGTAAATCTATATTTTTAAGGTTTTATTGAAATTTTATTCAAGTTTCCACATGTCCTCCATCATTAGCAATACAAAAGGTAATATGATTTTGCAGTTCATGGAAAACATTTGCCAACTGATTTACAGTAATGCCTGAAATCACATTAGTTATTTTAGCTATACTTAGAACTAGATACATTAAACTTTATAACATTTTTTACAGATTATTTCTATCGCAAATACAAATAAAGTTATAAATCTTTTAAAGTGCACACGAACTTTATGGACACGCTGTATATGAGAATCTATAAATCTTCCTTCATGTGAAAATTTCTTCAATGATTGTTTAAAGAGTTAAGGTGCCTAACTTGACACTTTAAGCCTGATTAGAATAATTCACCCAACAACCCTGGAGATAATCCTAACATTTTCTGATCAAAGTTTCTTATGTCAATTACAAATGGAATGCTGAAAGATTCTTAGCCCTCTCTCCACAAGAAATATGTTTGATCATTTTGTTAGATTTTGAGAAGTGGGTCATCCTGAAAACATTTCATTATCCACTCATCGCAATCTTTTTATATATATATATATATATATATATATATATATATATGTGTGTGTGGCATACAACAGTGCGTATCAGTCTTTCATGTCCGTCCATTATGAGATTGGAAATGTAGCTTCTTGTTAAACTGAACGGCATATAAATATAGCCTTTGCATAATATTTTCGTTAAAGTGAAGCACTACTTGAAGACCCAGCTACCAATTAACATTTAAATAATCTGAATCATTTTGTTAAAATCATATTGTCAGCAAGAGTCTGCCATAAGTTCATTCAGATAGCATTTTTCTTCTCTTGTTTGTAACTCTCTTTCTTTCTCTTTTCTCTTTCTATCTCTCTCTTTTTCCTCTTTCAACCTTCTCTCTCTCAACATCTTCCCTCTCTGCACTTCCCCTTTTTACATTGTAGCTTGCCACTCTCTTTTTCCTACTTTTCACTTTGTACTTCCTCTCTCTCTCTTTCTCTGTGCCTCCCACCTCTCTGTACTTTTTTTATACTGCATTTCCACTGCTCTCTCTCTCTCTACACCTCCCTCCTTCCTTTCACTATGCACCCCCCCTACACACACACTTTTCACTCTGTTTCTTCCCACTCTCTCTGCTGTCCTCCTTTCTCTCTCTCTCTGCACCCTCTTCTCTGGAAAATGCATAAAAAATAAATAGGTATTAATATAGCCTTAAGAATATTCCTTCAAAACCCAATTTTCTTATCAGTCTTTTATTTGGACAATTTTTAGTTTTTAAATGAAAGGTCAACATAATGGAACACTGTTTCTGCAAATAACCATTTAATTAAATGTCACAGGGAATAACTAAGTGACTAAATAAATAAACAGACAGGTCTTTATTCAAGTAGGAGTCTAACATCTCCATATATTTTTGATTGACAAAAACAGAATCATTCCTATTCACAATAACCAAAGTTCAATCCTTGAGATGACCCTCACAGAAAAACAAATCATAACAAAATTAATAGATCTGACTACACTTGAGCCTTTAAAAAAACATCATATCTTCACATGGCAATGTAACCTGTTATGTATTTCCCCACTGATGTTTGGAGTTGATACTCTGCTGCAACAAAATCCATTTTCAGTTTCTTATCTTCTTTTTTTTTTTATTCATTTATTTTTTTATAAGTTAAACGAAGTAAATGTCTATATAAGTATACACATAAAGAATTGATGGATCTGTTTTTAATTCAACATTCTTATTACTTCAAACGTTATTTTTAGTGAGTACCCTTGTTTGAATAGACATCCTGTTTTTAAACTCTATATTACATCTATAGGCCTGCACACTTGACAAAAGCTAAAAGGAAAAATTTTGTTGATACTGAAACTTTTTTTTTTTTTTTACTTAAACTTTTATTATAGAAATTAGATTTTAACTCATTTCAACTCTCTCTTTTTTTTTTTTTTTTTTTTTTTTAACAGTGTAGGGGTATACATATCCTACATTGTTTTCGTACTAATTGTTTTTAAATTATTTTTTTTTTTTATTACTTCATCCCATACCATCCCAAGCAAGGCAATAAAGCTACTAAGATGCAGGATGGGTTAATGAGAAAAAGAAAATAAGAAAAATAAAAAATATTAAGGAGAGTTAACAATAAAAGAACAAGAATTAAGAAAACAAAAGCTCTTGCCCACCCTGTTTTTACTAAATTAGTACCAAAACAACATGGGATATTTATACCATAAAAAACAAAACTAAAAAAAAAAGTCAAAATTAGTTCTAAAATGATATCCAAAGTAAATCAAACGTCCAGATGCAACTCACAGTTTCTTTCACTAACAGAATTTGCAGATTGTGAAATGAAATTTTTTTCTGATAACACCAGATAATTGGCGGAACATGTCAGTCAAAATTTCCCAAATTCTCTTAGATATTTACCATACCATTGGATCCTCATCCAACTACATACATACACACATACACACACACACACACACACACACACACACACACACACACACCAAGCTGAGCTTGAGGTCAATTGAACCTAATTCACCTCAGAGTAACTGACTTGTGGATTGTCAAATCCTTGCAAATCTTGCATCGCAAATTTTACAGAAAAGGCAGCAATAATTTTATTTTTTCTTCCAAGTTCTTCAAATGTCACAAGTGTTTGTATAGACTGGTTATAAAAGAACATAAAAAATCTCTCTCTCTGAAGAAATGAAAAAAGACAAACCTGCAAGGAACTGTTTTAACAGTTTTTAAATAACCAGTAAAACTTTATTTTCAAAGAATTATTATCAAAAGAATCCTATTGCATCTTTGATTGAGATTACAAAAGCCATTAAGACTTTCAGTTTTATTGGTTAAATAGAGATTTAGAACTTGCAAATATGGACTCCTAAAATCCTACCTCAGATCTCAAAATTTTCCATCTTTGGATGGGAGTGTGTGTGTAAAAAAAACACACACATGGGCATTAAATTTTATTGAGAAAAATAAATTACTTTTTGCTCAAAACAACACGATTTGCACTGTTTAACATGTGTGAACACTGAACCCAATCAACAACACTTCTACAAATCATTTGACACATTTCTACATTAATTTCAGAAAATCTATCAGAAATTGGTTTAATTCAGCAATTATTATCAGTTTGAGCCTGTAAACAAGATCTTTCAATACACTCCACATGAAAAAGGTTTTGGTGGTGTTAAATCTAGTGATTGAGATGGCCACTCAGTTGCTTTGCATGGTCCTATCCACCTCAGCTTGGAGGGAGAAAAAGTGGGCAGAGGACTTTTTGCTGCACTGTGTGTGCGTGGGGTGGGGGGGGTCATGGTAAGAGCTTAGAAAGTTTGCTTTCTGAGCACGAGTACCAGGTGTGAATTTCACCATTGTCGATTTGTCAAGAATATGACATCTTGATAATATCATCATGGCAAAACAATCCCAGTGTTCAGCACCTTTTAGAAAATGCATGAAAACCACACCACGATTTGACCCAAGCCTTGTGAGGGAAATTGAGTAGATGGAACAGTTGATATTTGATATAAAAAAAAACCCTGATATTTGGAGAGATTTCAATGAATGGATCAAGTTAAAATCTTTTCACGTCCCCACGTGTGTGCGTAGTATGCAACTCACTTCAGCTGGTGACAAAACAAACTTCCTGCTTTGTGTCATTCAAAGACCATATCACACTGAAACTCCAGTTCTCATACAATCACCAAAGTTAAGCAACTTCGAGCCTGCTTAATGCCTAGATGGGTGACTACTGGAGAACACCAAGTGCTGTTAGCTTGGATGTGCAGGTGGTGTAATGGATAAGAGCTCAGAATTGGAAATCAGAAAGCCGAGTTCTAATTCCATTCAAATATTTTAGGGTACTTCAACATGATGTAATAGTTAGCAAGCTTGTTTTGCTAGTTTAGTTACCTTATTGGGTGCTCCACTCTTTCGGCCTTGTGCCACATCTAAGTTAAAAAGCCATCATTCAAGTTTTTTATATTTGGTTACACACAATTACCCTTCTCCCTATGGGTTAATTAGTAGGACTTGTATCATTAATTCCTTATTATCTCCCAAAGATTCTTACAATCTAAAGATATTTTCTGGTTTTAAATAACCTGCAGAAGGTTGATAAGGTATAAAAAGAAAATCAGTCTTCAGAGAAGTTAGGTGCATCAACGGGTTGATGCGAAAAATAACTAAGCTTTATAGTGATTTTTTTTTTTTTTTCCTCCCTCACTTTCCTTTGGCATTACTTTGGAAAACAGACTCCTGAGAGGATGCTTTCTTGATCATTACAATTATTTTGTTTTTCTTCTCATTTTTCTTTGGAACTCCAACACATATTTGTTTCTTCTGCTGTGCTGTCCATTCTTTGGGTAATCATTTTTTTTTTTTTTTACCTTGATTTTTGTTGCTTTGGGAGGAATGAATGAATGAATGAATAAATGAATGAAAGAAATGCTAAAATGAAAAATACAAATTCATGATGCTATTTATTCCCAGCAAGCTGAAAGTATCAAACATACAATGCTAAAAGGAAATATTCAATGCTTTATCATAAGTGGCTTGCCTACCAACTTGATAATGTTTTGTAATTATATTGATTATCATTAAAGTTTATGGAAATGTTTACATTCTTGTCTCCTTGTTTGATTATTCTATATTGACACCCATGTAGAAAGGGGGAGAGGTGCTTTTATCGTCAAGTGTTTCTGTTTGATGTTCAACAGATAGTACAGTCTACTAAGTAACATCCACTTTGACTGAAGGGTAACACAGAAGTAAAGTAAAGTAAAGGAGAGGATGAGGGTTTGTTTTTTTTGTTTTTTTTTTTTGTTAGAGATCAAGTGGCAACAAAACCGGAACTAGGGTATATCCAGCTGGTGGTCTATATTAAGTAATGCTTGGGATCAGGGATGTATTCTGGTCTGCCCTTAGCAGGAAATAGATGTCCATCATATGGGCCGCCCATTTGTATTGCCAGCCATCACATCAGGATGAAGAGTTGCTAGAGGAAAGAGCCGAGCTGTTAAATCAAAATAACCAATAAATAAAAAGTTGTCTCAGGTATCACCCACCCAGACGAGCAGGCAAAGCCCTGAATAAAACATCTATATTATAATACAAGAAACAGGGTTTGTGTTATTATTCTTCAATGTGGCTTTTATCTTTCTTCATGTTACCCTGTGAACATGCAGCAAACCCTTTTCAAGCTTTTGGTGTACACTGCCGAAAAGGGGAATCAAAATGCAATATGGAGTAATTATTGGACAGTCAGTGAAAAGCACTTGGTTGAGGGAGGGTTATGTCTTTTTTTTTTTTTTTTTTTTTTTTGCAAAAAAATCACTTTTTTCGTTTTTTTTTTTAACCAACATCCTTTCATAGATGTCATATAATTTGAGTGATGGGTTTTATCCCTGGTAAAAACAATTTTAAACATAAATGTTTGCTTGGATGTGTGATTTCGATTCTGTGTTTGAAGCATTTGGGAAATTATTTATTTTAACATGTTTCCAATTGCAAAAGAAAACTTTTCCTGCTAATATAGATGGAAAGGGATGCTTAAATAATACAGTTCTTTTGATGGCTGTAACCACCATAGCCCCTTATTTCATTTTTTTTTTTTTTTTGTTTAATGCCATATCAACTCCTTATGGACGATTTAATGCTGAAATTTAATTTTCTTAGGAGCATTAGTAATTTCTTTTCCAAAAATGTATTGCTATCTATCTATGGTAATATCTTTTTTATTTAATAAAAATTTATTGCTGGTAATATTTTTTTTTTTTTTTTTTTTTTTTACAAAAAATGTATTACTGGTAATTGTTTTTACTATAAAAATGTATTTCTACACTTTCATAATGTTTTGACACTAGTTTATGAGTTCACTATTTGCACATAGCTGTGATTCTAAAAGATGCTATAACTCCAGGTCAGGATGAACCTGTAAACAGCAATTAAGAGGTGGTTCTGCACTCCTCAAAACCTCCCAATCAAAAGCCTTGCTGCCAGATGTAGTTTATCGTCACCCTTATTTCATTTCCTTTAATGATTGGTCTATAAACCAATGTACACAGTTTAATCATCCTCATTCTCTTTAGTAAGAAGGAAATTGCATTCAGACATCTTCCCAAAAATCATTACTTTGGGGAACAGACTCCCAAGATGATGCTTCTTGACCAATATGA